GTTCATCATTTCTTAGAACACAATAGTATTCCATCACAATTACATACCACAACTTATTCAGTCATTCCCCAATTGATGGGCATCCCCTCAATTTCTAGTTCCTTTCCACCAGAGAAAAGAACTGTTACAAATATTTTTGCACATATGGGTCTTTTTCCTTTTTCATTGACCTCTTTGGAATACAGACCTAGTAGTGGGTCAAAGGGTATGCACAGTTTTATAGCCCTTTGGACATAGTTCTAAAGAATTCACCAGAATGATTGGACCAGTTCACAACTCCACTTACAATGCATTAGTGTCTCTGCTTTTACACATCCCCTCCAACATTTGTCATTTTCCTTTTCTGTCATGTTATCCCATTTTTAGGTGTGAGGTGGTACCTCCGAATGGTTTCAATTTGCATTTCTCTAATCAATAGTGATTTAGACCATTTTTTTAAATGACTATAGATAACTTTGATTTCTTCTAATAACTGCCTGTTCATATCCTCTCACCATTTATCAATTAGGGAATGGCTTGATATAAAAATTTTTTCTCAGTTTTTTGTTTTCCTTCTAATTTTGGCTGCATTAGTTTTGTTTGTGTAAAAACTTTCTAATTTCATGTAATCAGAATTATATGTGTGCCTCATTACTATTATGGTAGCTTCCTTCTCCCATGGATGCTGTATGTATTTGTGGGAGGGGGTGAACCAGGTTTTTAGGAAAACATTTTGTATTAACTATTTTTACCAGGTTATCTGTGAATGGTAGTAGCTGCTCTCTGGGGACCCATCCTGCCAATTCAAGCTAGAGAATGCTGCTGTTTCTTCCTCTTCCTCCTCCCTCTCCTCCTACTCCCTCTCCTCCCAGTCCTCCTCCTCCTCCTTTTCCACTTCATCGTCTCTCCACTTGGTCCCTCTCTCCACTTGGGGCACCATACCCTTACATGTGGGTGCTCTGTCCATAGGAATATCATTTTTGTTCCTTACATTTTGTAAGATATTTGGAGATTTGGGGAATATATTGTTTAAAATTATTTTTTCAAAATGCTAGGACAATTTACTTTTTGTCCTGTGCAGTTTTTATTTATGATTTCCTGAAATATAACTTATGTATGAATCCTTATGAATCAGTGGCCCATATTTCTAATTGAGTTTGACATCACCAGTGGTTAAGCACACTGCCTCTGGAGTCAGAGGGCCTGAGTTCAGATTCTGCCTCTGATGTTCATTACCTGTGTTACCTCAGGCAAGTCACTTAATGTCCCTGGGCTTCAGTTTGTTCAGGTGTAAAATGAAAGGATTGCTCTAGATGATCTCTGAGGTCCTTTCTAGTTCTTGATCCATGATTCGTATTTTCTAACATATTCTTTGCTATTTTCCCCTATGCTTACTTTTGCATTTAAGTCACTAAGTATTCAATACATATCGATTTAATTTGGAAGGTAAGTTATTTATGAAATTTCTCTTTCTATCCTCTGTAACAGTTGGCACATAAGCGGCAGTTATCTTTAGGTTCATTTTTTTGCTGGTGCTCATTATAGAGATAAGTGCTGGACATGTAATTTCATTGTTAAAGGGAACTCCTAGGTGAAGAAACTCCCTTTAACAATTCGAGTCAGGATGACTTCAGAAAAATCTGGAAAGACTTACATGAACTGATGCAAAGTGAAGTGAACAGAACCAGAAGAATGTTATACACAGTAACAACAATATTGTAACAATGATCGATTGTGAATAACCTAGCTATTCTCAGCAATACAATGATCCAAGACAATCCCAAAGGACTCATGTGAAGCATGCTCTGCCTCCAGAGAAAGAACTGATACTGTCTGAATACAGACTGAAAAATGCTCTTTCACTTTCTTTTTTTTTATTCAAGTCTTCTTGTACAAAATTATTAATATGGAAATGTTTTACATGATTTTACATGTATAAACTATATTGGATTGCGTACCATTTCAGGGAGAGGAAAGGTAGGAATAGAATATGGAACTCAAAACTGTTTTTAAAATGTTAAAAAAATTGTTTTAACATGAAATTGGGGGAAAAATATTATTTTAAAAAATGCAAGTCAGCACCTTCTCCACAGGGTATAGTTTGAGATAATTGCTTAGAGCAGTGAGAGGTGAAGTGACTTATCCAGGATCACACAGCCAGTAAGTGAAATAAGACATGAACTAGATCTTCTGAGCTTTGAGACCAGCTCTCTATTCATTATACAGCACTGTCTCCCAGGCCCTATCTCTATACTCATCCTAAATATTAAAAGACAAGATAGCAAAGTATCCTATGAAAACATGTTTGTTCTTGTCTTTTGATGCCTAATGAAACTAACTGCCAACCGTCTTTATTTGACTCTCCAAGGAAAATCTAAGAAACAACTTTCCATTTCCTTTAGTCTTCTGGTTTCACTTATTATTTTAAAATGAGTTTTATATTGATTTTTTTTTTACTTTTTTGTCACCATGATTTCCTCTAGTACCTCCTCCACCCCATTCCAGAAAGCTACCCAATATAACAAAAAAAAATTTTAAATGAAAAAAATTTAAGAAGAGGAAAGAATCCGCATAACTGACCAATATATCAAAAAAAGTCTAAAAATATGAACAATGTACAACACTTGTGGACCTCCCACCTCTGCTAAGTGGTGGATTGGTAGCATCCTCTGATCTAATGTCTATTCTTTCTAGCCATGCTTGTTCTTTATAATTTTGCAGCATTCACTTTTGGGGTGTGTGTGTGTGTTTCTTTCCTTTTACATTGTTTTAGTTATTGCGTATACATATTTTTGGCTCTGCTTATTTTACACTGCATCAGTTCATGTGGATCTATCCATGCTTCTCTGTATTCATTATATTCATCATTTTTTACAGCTCAGTAATATTTCATTACATTCATGTGACACAATTTGTTTAGCCATTACACAAACGGTATCTACTTTGTTTCCAGTTCTTTGCTATCACAAAAATGTTGCTGTAAATATTTTGGTGTCTATGGAGACTTTCTTTTTTTCAATGGCTTCCTTGAGGTATAAGCTTAGTAGTGGAAACTCTGGGTCAAAAAGTATAGACATTTAGGGCAGCTAGGTGGCGCAGTGGATAGAGCACCAGCTCTGGATTCGGGAGGACCTGAGTTCAAATGTGACCTCAAACACATAACACTTACTAGCTGAGTGACCGTGGGCAAGTCACTTAACCCCCTTGCCTAGTCAAAAAAAAAAAAAAGAGAGAAAAAGTATAGACATTCTTCTATTGCATACTTCCAAATTGTTTTCCAAAATGACTGTACAATTCCCATCTCCATTTATAATGCATTAACGTGTCTATCTTCTTACAACCTCTTTCCAACATTAACTATTCCCATCTTTTGTCATCTTTGCCAGTTTGCAAGTGTGAGGCAAAAATCTCAGAGTTTTGTTTTACAGTTTTCTTGTTTTTAGTGATTTGGAGCATTTTTCGATGTGGTTATTAATAGTTTACTATTCTTCTTTTGAGAATTGTTTGTTCATATCCTATACTTACCTATTGGGGTACACATACACAAGGATAGATAGATAATTTGTAATTTATTATTAAAAATCATTGTATCAAATTCCTCTGATAAGGGTTTGGTATTCAAGATATATAAACAAGTGTGTGCATATCTTTATATATATATATATACACACATATAAACATACATATACACATACACATATACAGAATATATATATGTATATGCATATATATAATATCTATTTATATGCATAAAAAAGCATTTCTCAACACCTTTTGCCATTTTCCTGCTAGTCTGACTTTGTCACTGCAAAAGCAAAAAGGACAACAGAGGACTGAGGATCATTTAAAATTTAATTTAAATTTAAATTTTTTATTTGTTTTTCAAGGATGTCATGGCCTAGTAACTAGCCAACTAGTGATAAACTTCTCCATACCTAATTAAACTGGTCCTTCTTGAAAGACAGAAATTGTATTTGGCTAAAGCTGTACTTAAAGCTTTCCTATTATGGTAAAAAAAAAAAAAATACCAGAGCTTGTTTTTTGAAGACTTTTGTGCCCTGCATAAACTAGATGATTAATAAATTTTATTGACTTGAGGGGTATTTAAAATGTTATCAATGAAAAACATTAGAAATTTAGCAGTCTTTTTTTCTCTCCCCAAAGGAAGGAAATATATTCTTTTTATTGTAAGAAATTACTAAGCCAATAAGAGAGTGTTGAAATATTTCTCATTCATTTTATTAAAATATTTATGCAACTATGATTGCAAAAAAAAAAATCAAAATTGTCTTCAAATTTACCAGTGGACCTGAAACTGATGGCTGTTGTTCTGGTAAAAGCAGGAAATAATTTAAAATGTCCCAGTGTGAAAGAAGAGAGAGTTTTACCTCCAGGTCAGGATGGCTCGATAAAACTAGATTACTCACAACTCCCTTGGGCCTTTTTTCATGCATCCAAAATTCAGTTCAATTCATCAGGCACCTCCTCGGCTGTGTACTAAGCACTGTGCTAAGTGCTTGGGGGTATGAAGACAAAAATGAAGACCGGCCATGCCCATAATAGAACAGAAGTTCTATTCTATTACGCTGTATCATCTCCAATGTCTTTTCCAGCCCTAAGATTCTATCAGCTATGCTGTAACTTCCACCATGGTACATTTTCACTTAACTTTTAGAATCTCTTTACATGCTGTATGACTTACATTTACATAACAATTTTAAAGTTTGCATTGACCTTTGCATCTGTTCTATCTTTTGAGCTCACAATCTTGCGTAGTGTATTGTAAGACAGTAAATGAGTGCAGTCATGAAGAAGTTACTACAGTATTTACTGTACAGGTTTTAGAAATTTGGGACTATGTCCCCCTAAAACAAAACCCACCGAAGCTGTAGCCTGGCATCACTCAGGGTTCTGGTCAGTAACCCAATAGGTATTTTACATACGTATTTTACTATACAACATGTATGATTCATTTGATGAGAATTTGCTTATTAACAACAATGATGATGTTCCCATTATAGGTTAGGAATCTGAAGCAATGGGTGACTGGAGCTTTCTGGGGAGACTATTAGAGAACGCGCAAGAACACTCTACCGTGATTGGCAAAGTTTGGCTGACTGTTCTGTTCATCTTCAGAATCCTGGTGCTGGGTGCGGCTGCAGAAGAAGTCTGGGGAGATGAGCAGTCAGACTTTACATGTAACACTCAACAGCCAGGTTGTGAAAACGTCTGCTATGACAAGGCATTTCCCATTTCCCACATTCGCTTCTGGGTCCTACAGATCATATTTGTGTCTACACCCACCCTCATTTATCTGGGCCATGTGCTGCACATCGTACGCATGGAGGAAAAAAAGAAGGAAAAAGAGGGAGAACAACTTAAGAAAGACAGCCTGCACCAGGAAGTAGGAGAACTCGGTGGTCCCAACAGCCATAGAGAACCACTTACTAGAAAGGAGGGTACCAGGGTGGAAAAGAAAGAGAAGCCTCCAATCCGAGATGATCGAGGGAAAGTCCGGATAGCTGGTGCCCTACTGCGCACCTATGTCTTTAATATTATCTTCAAGACTCTGTTTGAAGTGGGCTTCATTGTGGGGCAGTATTTCCTGTATGGTTTTGAGTTGAAGCCACTGTACCGTTGTGACAGGTGGCCCTGCCCCAACACTGTGGACTGCTTTATCTCCAGGCCCACAGAAAAGACCATATTCATTATTTTCATGTTAGTGGTGGCTTGTGTATCTCTCTTGCTCAACATGCTGGAGATCTATCATCTGGGCTGGAAAAAACTTAAACAGGGTATGACCAACCATTATAGCCCAGATTCTCCCGAAGCCAAAATCCTTCCCTCAAAATGTAGCAGCATTGGCCCACTTCTGCTTTCCTCCCATTCTGCCCCACCTACTGTTGGATTCCCACCTTATTATACTCAGTCTGCCTCTTCCCTAGGACAGGCAACCACTCCAGGTTATCCTGGGGCTCCTCCCCAGCCCACGGAATTCAGAATGGTAACCCTTCCCGAGGAGCACAGTAAGGCAGCCCCGGCCAAGTACTATGGTGGCAACCACCACCACATCTTAATGACGGAGCAGAACTGGGCCAACCAAGAGGCAGAGCAACAGACTTTTGAAAGGAAGTCATCCCCACCCGACACCACCCCTGGCACTCCCACTACCCCAAGCAGTGTTCGGCAACTCCTCCAAGAGCGAGCAGACAATGGGGGAGGAAGTAAAGTGCCCCTGCTATTGATTAATGGAAGTAGCAGCAGTTTGGGGGCCACTAAATCAGAGAGAAACTCTGATGGAGAAAAACAGCCAGGGACCACCACAGTTGAGATGCACGCACCCCCACTGCTTCTCGTTGATACAAGACGGTTAAGCAAGGCTAGTAAGTCCAGCAGCGGTAGAGCCCGATCGGATGACTTAGCCGTCTAACATAGCTCACTGCCTCTCTCTCCACACTCACCTCTGAAGAGAGTTTTAAAGTAACCTTTCTTCTAGAAAAAAAAATTTTTTTTTTTTAAAATTAAATTTACAGTTAAATCAGCAAGAACCAGAAAAAAGACAGGTCCTAGGATGGGAGGAGAAATAAGATCAAGAAGAGGAGAGTAGGTTTCCTTATGTTAATACCTGCTGTTCTTAACACACTGTGAAGTTGTAGTGCACATAAAAAAAGCAACATTTTCTGATAGAATGAAAGTAACCAAAGTGAGAGCTGATTGTCAGTCCCAAAGGTGTCCAATCCCAGCAGGCACTGGCTTTGCAACCTGAGCAGAATTTACAAATTAGTTTGTGCACTGCCTGCAGATCCCTCTTATTTCTAAGCCTTTATATAGTGCCTACTCTGGGCCAGCTACTGTGCTAAGTGCTGTGCAAATATTATCTCATGTGATCCTCACAATAACCCTGACAGGTAGGTGCTATTATCCTCTTTTTACAGTTGAAGAAACTTTGAGGCAAACAGGTTAAGTGATTTGCCCGGACTCCCACAGCTAGGAAGTGTCTGAGGTCAGATTTAAAATCTGGTCTCCCTGACTCCAGGCCCAGCTCTATATACACTATCATCTAGTTGAGATCTCATCGAAATGGTCATGTATTCCTAAATTGGATAAAACCTTTCTGGTTAGTGTAGTAAATCCCTGGACATATTCAACTCCATCCTTACTCTTAATGTATGAGTGCATTTGCTTTTGAGTGACTCTATGCTGATCTGGTCTAAAAAATATTTAAGTGGCATGCAAATGAGGTTTTTTGGGGTTTTTTTAAAGAAATAACCAGAGGCATTTGGACTTCTGAACCTGCACAGTGAGGCACAAGAAACTCTCACATCATGTGTTATAATATAACCACATAATACAAAGCATACTAATTCTCCAGGGGCAAGAGTCATAATTCTGGGGTGTGCTGCAATCAATTGCTTTCACCCAATGGGAAAATTGAAGTAAAAGTGTGGCTGGAATGCTTTAAGAATTTCTCTTAAAGGACAAATGTGACATTCATTTTTCAACCTTCAGTCTTTTTGACAAGAAGAAACTTAGTAGTATTAGAAATTATGGTAATCCAGCAAGTATTAAATTGGCCCTGTTATATGTAGTTAAAGATATGGCCCCTTTAAAGGAAGTCTGCAACTTCATCAGTCTACTGACTGCTATTAGAGAAGAGGAAAAAAGATAGCTAAGCATTTCAAGCTTTTGAACTTGTTAAAAATTTTGAATAGAAAATTGAAACTTAACCATGGTCATCAGAATAGTTCAGATGAATTAATGACCTACAGTTTTTAAAAGTACAGAACAAAACACTCATAAGATTCCTTAGTCTTTTTTGCTTCTTAAAGTAAAAATAAAAACATAATACATCCAACTTCCTAATTTGAGTATAGGTATAAACATAACAGTTTTATTTGCTTATACATCAAAGGAATCTCTACTGACTGGGATATTATTTATGGATGTAAATTGGCCCAATTTTTCATCCCACATACTTCTTTACTAAAAATAACTTTTAAGTCATCATTTTTTCATGAACTAAGCAAAACCATTGATATAATAAACTTTCAAGCTATAGAGTGGTACAGTCATCTATGAGCCAATGAATTAGCTGATGAAAAGTAGCAAATAGTCTTAATCCTATTCAAATTTTCCACTTCTAGTTCCCATGGATTAGGACTGGCTATTTTTCAACTTTCATGCCATCACCACCACAACTCCCCCTTAACTTTATTGCCTGTCTGTCCCTTTATGGAATTTATTGCTTTTTAAATTCAGGAAATTAACTTATATTGATTTGATTTATTTGAGGCCATGCTTCCTAAAACACCTTCTCTAATATATTTTACAATTTGGTAATGAGCAAAAGTAGTTAAGACTTTGTAAACTACTGAAAAGGCCCTTCCATACTAGCTTTAATGGTAATCTCAGCCTTATGGGGAGTTCCAATAGAATAGCAGAAGTTTTATTCCATTATTGATCATCTAATCTTAGGAAAAGAGACCAACTTCTCAGCATAGATGTATGCCCTTGGACCACCTCCATTTTAAAAGCATTAATTTTAGAAAAGGTTGTAGTCAGTATGCCAAAATCAAAGCTACAACTCACAAGGCTGTGTTTGAAGGCATGCCTCAGGAACTTCTACCATGACCACACCTCTAACAAATTTTAAACTTCTTGGTTTCCCACCATTTGATTTTGAGTTGAGGGAGGGGGAGGATTGATTATAGTTTTAATTTTTAAATTTTTGAAAATGTAACTTTATGCATAATGGATAACATGTGTATGGTTATCCCTCTATGATACAATTGCATTTAGAATAGCTTGAGCCTCTTCTCCCTATTACATGGGCAGAGATTTAGTTTGTTTGAAGGGATTTGTGTGAAATACCTGTTTTAAATGTAAATTGGATTAAATTTGCTTCCTTCAGTAGTATTAGAAACAATTAAGGAGCCAAGAAGTAATGAAATTTTGTGAAGTAGAACAGCATCTGTGGAAGGAGATATTTGTTAGTTTACAGGTGAATTTACTGGTCACAGTTCTTTTTAAAAGTGAAAAATGACATTTCTTACTTGAGTTACACTGCTGTTTGAGGTATTAGTGTTTTTGAAACCAAAAGGTCAGGCTTCTCTGCCCCTTGGGGGTAGATGAGTGGTGTGGAAGGTTGCTCTCTTTTAATAAATTATTTTAAGTATTAAAATGTGCAATGAAAAATTAGACAGTTAAACATTATGGACAAGACACATTTCATCCAATATTTTTCACACTCATTTAAATAGTCTACTGATATTTATCAACACAATTTATGATTTAATCGAGAGATTTGGGGTGTGGTTTTTCTTTCCCATTTCACTAAAGTTGTCTAAAAACTAAAAATGATTTATCAAATGCACTTGTGTACTTTTAATCAGAAGCATGAAATATTTATATTCTCTTTTATCAGTGGATCAGAAACCCACTCCTGTAATTTGTACTGTCAGACTACTTAAGGGCTATATGATTTTTTCAACCTTTGAAAGATCCAAATGCAAAAGTTCTCTTTCCATTTTGATTCTGCAGGATTTCTTGCAAAATCTTGAGTTCACTTCTTGTTCCTTTGGGATTTGTGTATTTTTAACTTTTTTAAGTGTAATTCATCATTTTTTCCCATGCTTAATGGCTAAAACAAACTTTTGAACTCTTATCTCTTATAGCATTGGGTCCTGAAAATGATATAAGGTGTTGAAAAAGGAAAGTACTTTTTTGACAGAGAATCAGAGAATCAATACTGATTTGTCACTTATTAAACATGCTGATATTATGCTGTTTCCCCAGAATTTGTTATGTCAGAACCCGAGAGTAGAGCCAATTAATTCCAACAGTCCTTTAAAAAAAGCTGATTTTCAAACTAATTAGCAGATCCCTTAACACAACTGAATGTAGGGAATATTCTCCTTTTTCCCATTTTTTCCCTTGTTTTTTATGAGAAACATGCTGTATTTATAACTTTGGTTTTCTAACTTTTGCATTCATTTTTTTATTTTCAAATTGCACATTTAGATGAACTGCATGGTACCTGACCCTTATGTTGGTTTATTTAAATGTTAAGGGACCCTAATAAGATATTTATGCCCCAGAAAGGAACATCTTAACATAGGAAGTCTTCAGGTATGCTGTGTCATTTAAAGAAAGCTACTTTCACATAAATATTATCTTTTTGTTATTTTTTCACATGCTTAAGACATGGGCAGAGGTAAATTGCATTCAAGCAGCCTATCTTAGAAAATGTTACACTGTTCTTTAAATATAGTGATACAAATTCGCCTTTGTTCCATTCTTTTGCATTTGTTTGCATGTGACTGGTAGCAGGATCAAGTCTATTAAGAGCTTAGTTACCATATGATTCTTCCCCTATCTCCCCCCCAAATACGCATGAAGAATACTGCACTATTACCTTACAGGAAAAAAAATATTTTATGTAAAAGGCAATGCAGATTTTTTTTTCAAACAAGTGAAAAAAGATGTAACTATAATCAAAGTAAACAATTATTTAAAGCTCAGGAGATGCATTTATGTTGTTCATTACACAATCTCTCCCACACTACAAAGGTTGTGCCAGCTTACTCAGAGGTTTCTTGTGGCCCAAAGGATGTTTGTCTTCTACATGACTGATCCTCATGACAAAGAGATTTCTGGGCAGTGAGGGATTTACAAGTAGTAAATCTCTGAAAGATCTGCCTTTGAAGGACTTGCCTCACGTATACAATTCTGTAGGAATCAGTTGATGTCAATGTTCATTTACATCAAATGTTTACAAAACTGTTACTAAATAAACTTTTTGTATCATAATGTTGTCTCTTCTAGATTGTGTTTTCATCATAACTGTGACTGACATCTAGCCTGAATTTCCAAAAAAAAAAAAGATAATCAAAAAGTAAAAAAAAACTAGCCCAGTTACCATGCAAAAGTGGGTTTTATGTTGTTTAGACTGACTCAAAAAAGGTGCTTTGTTTGTGACTGCAAGTAAGATCACAGGTAATGTATTACCTTTCATTTGTATGTGATTTTAAATTTAAGCCACTCTGTTTTTATACAGTTATTTGGTAGTAATCTAATGTTTCCACATCCTAGGTCCAAGTTTTTAAAATTATAATTTTCGACATCCTAAGCAAAGACATAAATCCTCCCTTTCCCTGAAACAGGAATCCGAGACAAGACAGGCATTAAGAGTGTAGCCAGTCTCACCTTCGAAGTGGATTGTGTTGCAAAAGTAGTTTTAAAGTGGTCATTTAACACTTAGAATCCATTTTTCCACTAGAAATGTATTATTATGGTGGTTAGGATCTCAGACAAGCCCATGAAAGATTAACTGTAATGTAGTTTTTTAATTAAGTGGCCCATGACATCTGTCTTTGCAATTAGTGAGGAGGGGCCAGATTTACTTCAGGCTAGGATGGGGTATAGGGCAGGGTCCACAGACCAGACCTTCTTATGTCTGTCATTTGTGCTTGTGTAAGAAGTGATGGTGGGCCTGCTTGTGACTTCTTACTTCTTTGTTCCCTCTCAACCCACTATCCTTTCTCCTTTTTGTGAGCTGACAATCTATACAGGATGATTTGAGCATACCATTAGTCAGATTGGAGATGGAATCAGAATCAAAAATTAGGCCATTGGCTAGCAACCAAATTAGAAGAGGGTATAGGATCCGGGCTGAGTGGAATAGTTATTACGTGGGCTGATGGATACTGGAGGAAGGTGAGAATTCTGAGTTGCCTCTAGGCTCTGACCCAAGAGGAAGTGGAGGTAAAAAAATATTCTCAACAACATCAATAATAACAGCTTGCATTTATGTAGCATTTTAATGTTTACAAAGCACTTTTCATATATTATCTAGTTTGATCTTC